ACTGTCACACACTCAGCACTGTCACAGACTCAGCACTGTCACACACTCAGCACTGTCACACACTCAGCACTGTCACAGACTCAGCACTGTCACAGACTCAGCACTGTCACAGACTCAGCACTGTCACACACTCAGCACTGTCACACACTCAGCACTGTCACACACTCAGCACTGTCACAGACTCAGCACTGCCACAGACTCAGCACTGTCACAGACTCAGCACTGTCACACACTCAGCACTGTCACAGACTCAGCACTGTCACACACTCAGCACTGTCACAGACTCAGCACTGTCACAGACTCAGCACTGTCACAGACTCAGCACTGTCACACACTCAGCACTGTCACACACTCAGCACTGTCACACACTCAGCACTGTCACAGACTCAGCACTGTCACAGACTCAGCACTGTCACAGACTCAGCACTGTCACAGACTCAGCACTGTCACAGACTCAGCACTGTCACACACTCAGCACTGTCACACACTCAGCACTGTCACAGACTCAGCACTGTCACAGACTCAGCACTGTCACAGACTCAGCACTGTCACAGACTCAGCACTGTCACAGACTCAGCACTGTCACAGACTCAGCACTGTCACAGACTCAGCACTGTCACACACTCAGCACTGTCACAGACTCAGCACTGTCACAGACTCAGCACTGTCACAGACTCAGCGCTGTCACAGACTCAGCACTGTCACAGACTCAGCACTGCCACAGACTCAGCACTGTCACAGACTCAGCACTGCCACAGACTCAGCACTGTCACACACTCAGCACTGTCACAGACTCAGCACTGTCACACACTCAGCACTGTCACAGACTCAGCACTGTCACACACTCAGCACTGTCACAGACTCAGCACTGTCACAGACTCAGCACTGTCACAGACTCAGCACTGTCACAGACTCAGCACTGTCACACACTCAGCACTGTCACAGACTCAGCACTGCCACAGACTCAGCACTGTCACACACTCAGCACTGTCACAGACTCAGCACTGTCACACACTCAGCACTGTCACAGACTCAGCACTGTCACACACTCAGCACTGTCACACACTCAGCACTGTCACACACTCAGCACTGTCACAGACTCAGCACTGTCACACACTCAGCACTGTCACAGACTCAGCACTGTCATAGACTCAGCACTGTCACAGACTCAGCACTGTCACAGACTCAGCACTGTCACACACTCAGCACTGTCACAGACTCAGCACTGTCACACACTCAGCACTGTCACAGACTCAGCACTGTCACAGACTCAGCACTGTCACACACTCAGCACTGTCACAGACTCAGCACTGTCATAGACTCAGCACTGTCACAGACTCAGCACTGTCACAGACTCAGCACTGTCACAGACTCAGCACTGTCACAGACTCAGCACTGTCACACACTCAGCACTGTCACAGACTCAGCACTGTCACAGACTCAGCACTGTCACACTCAGCACGTCACACACTCAGCACTGTCACAGACTCAGCACTGTCACACACTCAGCACTGTCACAGACTCAGCACTGTCACAGACTCAGCACTGTCACACACTCAGCACTGTCACAGACTCAGCACTGCCACAGACTCAGCACTGTCACAGACTCAGCACTGTCACAGACTCAGCACTGTCACACACTCAGCACTGTCACACACTCAGCACTGTCACAGACTCAGCACTGTCACAGACTCAGCACTGTCACACACTCAGCACTGTCACACTCAGCACTGTCACACACTCAGCACTGTCACAGACTCAGCGCTGTCACACACTCAGCACTGTCACAGACTCAGCACTGTCACAGACTCAGCACTGTCACACACTCAGCACTGTCACACACTCAGCACTGTCACACACTCAGCACTGTCACAGACTCAGCGCTGTCACACACTCAGCACTGTCACAGACTCAGCACTGTCACAGACTCAGCACTGTCACAGACTCAGCACTGTCACACACTCAGCACTGTCACACACTCAGCACTGTCACAGACTCAGCACTGTCACACACTCAGCACTGTCACACACTCAGCACTGTCACAGACTCAGCACTGTCACAGACTCAGCACTGTCACACACTCAGCACTGTCACACACTCAGCACTGTCACAGACTCAGCACTGTCACAGACTCAGCACTGTCACACACTCAGCACTGTCACACACTCAGCACTGTCACAGACTCAGCACTGTCACAGACTCAGCACTGTCACACACTCAGCACTGTCACAGACTCAGCACTGCCACAGACTCAGCACTGTCACACACTCAGCACTGTCACAGACTCAGCACTGTCACACACTCAGCACTGTCACAGACTCAGCACTGTCACACACTCAGCACTGTCACACACTCAGCACTGTCACAGACTCAGCACTGTCACAGACTCAGCACTGTCACACACTCAGCACTGTCACAGACTCAGCACTGTCACACACTCAGCACTGCCACAGACTCAGCACTGTCACAGACTCAGCACTGTCACACACTCAGCACTGTCACACACTCAGCACTGTCACAGACTCCACTGTCACAGACTCAGCACTGTCACACACTCAGCGCTGTCACACACT